TAATAAGTGAAAACTCTGAAGATTCAGTGTCTTGGTTACTTTATTAAAAGCAATTACTTTCCAAGAGTTTCTCTGCTAGGAGTGTTTGAGGCAAGCCATATAGTAAACAAGTGGGCAGTACTGAACTTATTGACTTGCTGCCGGAATAAAAAACCTCTATTGAACTTAAAACAATTCAGGTACGTAATAGAAAATTTGTACTAATTTTGCAACAATAGTTACCCTCATCCATAATTCACAGAGAATAAGATTAATCTAGAACGATAAATACTTAGCAAAAATACATGCCTCCGTGCATAAACTTGAAGAAGCGAAAGCTCGTAGGCAAACCACTGAGGCCGTAAAATGTATTTGAACAACCAAAAGCGGCACACTGCTTTCCTTTCTTTTTGGGAGAATATTAGTTTTATCGAGATTTCGGCTAGGACCATCCATTTTCCTTAAAAACCGAACAATTTCACTGCCCACGTAGGAATTTCACCAAGAGCGCTCACAGAGATTTAGCATAAGTCAACCCCAGCCTCGTTCTCACGTGTGCGCGGTCACATGTCCAATATGGCGCTGGGAACTGTAAAAACAGGAAAGGTACAAAGGAACAGGAATACAGATCAAAAGTACCATTCAACTTGAATTAAGTCCTAAATTGTGCCATCTAATCGATGGTATACAAGACTCCTCGTTTTTCAAAAGAATTCAAAGTAACTACAATACGAGAGGTATGTTAAAATATCTGATCAAGCTGTATTACATTGAATGCTATACAATCCCGCCGCGTGGCTGAGCGGAATCATAATATTACCGGAATGATTTGAGAAATTGTTTTTCGTTGGCCTAAAATAACTCAATATGAAGGCCTTTTGGCTGGGGCTTACCCAATATATGCTTAGTGGTTACAACTCAGCCACCGAGTCACACAAGCGAGCACTAACGATCAGACAAACGGTATTGGGTGAAAATCATGACGATACCGCTGACAGCTACCGTTATCTGGGGCTTACCCAATATAAGCTTAGTGATTACAGCTCAGCCACTGAGTCACACAAACGAGCACTAACGATCAGACAAATGGTATTGGGTGAAAATCATGAGGACACCGCTGAGAGCTACCATTGGCTGGGGCTTACCCAATATATGCTTAGTGATTACAGCTCAGCCACTGAGTCGCACAAGCGAGCACTAACGATCAGACAAACGGTGTTGGGTGAAAATCATGAGATCACCGCAGAGAGCAACCATCATCTGGGACTTACCCAATTTATGCTTAGTGATTACTCCTCGGCCATTAAGTCACACAAGCGAGCACTAAAGATCAGACAAATGGTGCTGGGTGAAAATCATGAGAAGACCGCTGAGAGCTACCATTGGCTGGGGCTTACCCAATATATGCTTAGTGATTACAGCTCAGCCACTGAGTCACACTAGCGATCACTGAACATCAGACCAAAGGTTTTGTGTGTGAAGAACATAATAAGCCCATGAACTGAGGATATTGCACGAGACGCACTTAGCTTCTGATTAATGCAAGCATGTACTTGACTTTCGTTTAAAGTTGATGGAGGAAGAACGTGCGAGCATCAGTAAAGCGATTGTTAAAGAAATCGCGGACATTGTAGAGATTACACGAAATAGGTATTTAATATTTGGTTTACACAAGTTAGAAGAATACGCCTCAGTCATAAGTTTTGTAAACGACCTCTTGACTTCACACCAGTCGTTTTGGAAAAAAAAACATGCTTGAACCAGACGATCAAGACAATCCTAACATTTAAGACATAGGAAATAAATAACATGACTTATTAAGGACAATGCTGATTTTTGTTTACTTCCGACACACTAAACTTATATTACTGCTTAGTCAGGAGTACATCATTCAATCGACATACAACACAGAACTTCACCGAGAATACA